TAATCGATTGTTTAGAAATTGAAATTCAGAAGCTAGAAGATCCAGTCAAACAAGCTCTATTTAGGTCGATTTTCACCAGAAACAAACGAAACTAACTTTATGTTAAACGCCGAAATTAAATTCGTTTAACAACGCCCCGTTTTCACCAGCGCTACAGCACGTTTCTTAAACTGCGTTTAGGGAAACGTAGTTTAAGAAACTGGAAACACTGGCATCGTTGCAAAAGTGAGTAATATGGTATGTGCTGGTTATGGCCATAAAAATCAGTGAGACCTCTAGTGTCAAAATATTGAGCCTACCTCATAAGTAATGTCCTAGGCAAAGCACGTGTAATATTTGTGAATTTGTCTGTGATGTTTAAGAAAAGTTCTGTCAGTGTGGAAGTTAAAAGTGCTCTAGTAGTGCGGCTATTCCTTTTTACATTATGGCATCTACCTCTGATAAAAACGCTAGCAAAGATCTTCGGTAGCTTCGGCGTACGAGGCATAATACAAATTGTTCTGTTTGCCATTCAAGAAAGGGAACTGATAGAATGTTACATTTCCATGCTTTTCCTGCCAAAAATAGTGGAGTTACCGTGAAAATGATTAATGGTTTCGGATTACAGGAAATGATTGATAAAAGAAAAGCATGGGAGCATAAATTACTGATAGGAAAACTCGTAACCAAGTACATGCGTATTAGGGATGGTCGGTACTTAACGTAACCGCTAAAATAGTGTTCCAAAAGTGTAACCTGAAACCGTAGCTAGTCGATTTAACTGGTTCTTTTTGGAACCGACTAATAAAACCGAAATAGCGGTGCACACTTCGGACACCGTCGAGCGATCTATCCAGCTGCAGCCGTTTGTCGATTTAAACCGTTGTTTGGAAAATTTCAAAAGTAACATGTTAACTGCATTTGAACCAACTGGAACGTTGTAACCCGTTACAGAAAAATAACCGTTTATCACACCTATAAGGCCCAAGTCTACAATTGCGGTATATACCAGGAACAAGCTCTTCGTAGAGTAAAATATACCAGGTATAATACTATGTGTTGTTCTACAATGCAACGATGGCGCGAGAATAACTGTTCCGAGTACATCGAAATTTTGGCTCTGGCGGTGTCCAAGCCGTAGCGGCAACGCTGCCATCGAGATGACCAGAGAATGTTTTGTGTAGTTTTCGAAGGGTTATTTCGAACTTTGAAAGTGAATTTAGCTCAAAGTTTATGATAGTACCCCAAAGAAACAGTACCTAAAATAGTTCAGCAAAAAACGATGCACCAATTTCAGTAAAAATGAAGTGGAAACATTAATGGACGTAGTAGTAGAAACTCACCGACATGTTATTGGTACGTACAATTTAATTTTAATATTATAGGGTAAAACATTGTCTTTTTAGAATGTAATAAAACAGATACAGTGACTAATGGAGCAAAAGCGGCTGAGTGGCGCACTATAGCAACAACATTTAACGCTATTTGTGGCACGGGAAGAACCGGGAAGATGTTGCGAAGCAAATTGGATTCGCTCAAAAAATCGACTAAGAATAAGAAAGAATATGCCGAGCTTAGGAGCCAAGTATATAAAACTAGTGGCGGTCCACTCCCATATTTGAACTTGACAGGTTTAGGAAAAAGAGTGCTCAATTTAGTTGGTGTCTCTGCTAAGGGTACTGCATGTGAATTTGATTCGGATGCTGGTAAGTGTAGTTTTACGACATTGTAGATTTAACTTAAATGTCAATTAACACATAGTTTTCTGTTATAGCTTTTGTTACCCCAAGTGAATTGGAATCCTTGGAAATTCTTACAGATGCCCAGTGAGTATTTGTAATGTTACTATACGAAACGAAATACTGAAATGCGACTTTTACTTCTAGGTAAGCAGCTCCATTTTAGAAAAATGAAGAGGAAACCCGCAAAAACTGGAAGAAACGCACATATTTATGAAGAACTGGCCCAAAAAAAATTGAATTTTTATAGTTTCAAAAAACTTTACTGCAAAAAGAAGCGCTACAAAAAGAAGAAAAGGAAAAGGAAATGCATGATCTAAAAATCATACATATGAAAGCATACTCTTAAATTGAAAGCGGTCGAATCCCAGATTTTAAATAAAACAACTTAATAATTCACGTTGTGCTTTATTATTCCTACAGTAAATGTGCAAAATGATTATTTATAATTTTTGACCTCATTCTATTATTTTAGAAATATTTGAATCGGCTATCGATGACGGTAACTCATCTGCGCCAACATTTTCGAAATCCAATTCAATTGGTGGATCTCCATCCTT